CCCTATGTATCCAGGTGAAGGGTTTCTTAGGCTTGGGGGCCTCTACCTGGGGGGGGGGGGGGGGCACGGGGGGCAGACAGCGCAGTTTTCTTTATTCGTTCCCTCAAGCCCTAACAATGCAGGCAATAAATGACCTGATAAGGGGCACGTGATGCCAGCAAAGAGGATGGTTCCAGAAGGCACAGAAGACTGTGTGCAGAAGAGGGCATGGAGTGAGGAACAACCTGACCTGAAGCAACTGTCCAGGCCTGGAGTAGCGCCTGAAGCTAGAAGGCACCAGATGAAGGCGAGAGGGTCCAGCCCAGGTCTTTGGCTCAGGCCAGGACACCTGGGGCCTTCCTTGTCTGGGCATACGGAAGGTGTAGGGACAGGTAAGTTGAGGGCTGAGATTTTCCAGATAGGTTTTCTTTAATGCTTTAATGAAATGTGCTGAAAAATCCACTCAGCCTTGAAGTGTGATATGTCCAGGTGTATGTATTGGGCCAGGGGAAGCTGGAACTGGGTACTCCCTGAGGAACACAAACAAGGACTTAAGGGGCAGTAAAAATTCGGAATAGAGTCTGCTGTTCATTTGGCACATATCTAATGAGCATCCAGTTGCTACAGGCATGCTGGTAGGCACTGGGGACACCAATGAAGAACCAGGTCCTTGTCAGCCCACACTTTTATGGGAGAGACGTACAAGTAACAGGCAGAATCAATCAAGTGTGGAAAAGGTTATGAAGGAGGTTTGCTGAGGGTTCTTTGGGAGCCCAGAGTATGGGGCCCAGGCTGGGACAGAGGAAGGGAAATGGAGAGGTGTTGGTGGATGACGAATGTGGGCAGGGCGTTTTAGGCAAAGGGCTAAGTGTGAGCTCAGAAAGAGGATGTCTGGGTCCAAGAGCTCCAGGCACATTTGTGGGATGTGAGTAGATGGGACGGGAACTGGAGGATAAGGTGAGGTGTGGGAGGAGCCAAATTGCAGGGACATCATCTCTGGGCCTCAGGGACATTGTGAGACACCAGGCAGAAACCTGGAAGTCTCCCGAGGGCCTGATGTTCTCCTGTCCCTTTTGGCATTGGAACACAAGACCTTTCTTCCTGCCTGGTTGGACAGAAAGCGGCACCTCATGCTGCACACATGTCCCAAAACCTGGCCCTAAGTTGGGACACCCATCCTCCAAATGACTAGGCTGATCCCTCCTGGACAGCACATAGTCTATCTGACTCTGGACTCACTAGGAGACCAACTCAGGAGATGACAGATGGAAAAATGGGAGAGGAGGAAGCAGAGTCCAGGGCCAGGAGCAGAGAAGAGTGAAGGTGGTTAGGAGTGTCAGATTAAACATAGGACACCCATCTAAATCGTATTTCAGATAAACCAAATTATTTCACAGGGCATAGTTATACTAAAAATGTATCCATTATCTGAAATTCCAGTCTAACATCCTGTATTTTTATTTGCTTAATCTGGCAACCCTGAGTGGTGCTTGTCTGCTTGGTATATCAGTGCCTCAGCGAAAAACCAGGGAGGCAGCCAGGGGAAGGACTCTAAGATGTGGTCACCCTGACTTTGGGCATAGTCTGTCCTCTTTGAGAAAAGAGTCCTGGCAAGGCTGCTTGCTTGGGGGCAGTCATGTCCACAGTGTCACACACAGAAGCCACGGCTCCACAAGGGCTCTCAGCCTGGCAGGGATGCCACAGAGGACAGATACAGAAGCAACAAATAACCTTTTAAGTCATAGGCCAGGGACTTGGTACCTTTTAATAAACTAGTCTCTTTGCTCCCAGCCTCTCCCCTGTCCAAGTTAAGCTACACAGCACTCATTATATTCTTCAGAGAGCACAAACTTAAGTCTCACTTTGTTAAAAGCCTTTAGTTTCCCCCAGTAGCCCTGGATAAACACCAACTATTCAGCCCGGCATTCCAAGCTCTACACATCTGGCCCAATATTTCTTCCCAGCCATAGTTCCCTTGATTACTCTCCATTCCCCTGCTAAAACTGGAGTCCTTGGTGTCTTGCAAATAGATCTTTAATTTCCCTGCCTTTGTTCATGTCCCCTTTCTTACCTGTAGAAATCTTTCAAGGTTGAATTCAATGGTAAGAAACCTGATGTCACCACCTCCATAACACCCTCCTTGACTTCCACCTATCCTCCCCATTCTGCCCATATCCCCAGCTAAGTTATACTCTCTGTTTTGCCAACATTTTCTCTAGATACTTTTGTAGCCTTTATCCGGCATTGCATATTAACAATGTGTGTATTTTTCTCTACTATTTTTTTTCTTTTATTAGATTATAAAATCCTTGACAGCAAGTAAAAGCTAAGTACAGTTTGCTGAATGAATACAAGAAATGAGGTCACAGAAAGAGCAAAGCCCATAAAACAACAGCAACAGCTTTGGGATGCTGCCAGCAGGCAAAGCATTGAGAGCGGAAAGCCTAATCCTATGCCCTCGTGAAAAGTATCACACTGCAGGAAACCCATAACTCAGCAGATAGGGCAGTTTCCTGCAGAAAAGCCCCTCATGAGAAGGGGCTGAGTGACAAGATTTAGTGCAGCCAGAGAGCCCACCTTCAACCAACTACAATCAGAGGAGAGAAATTTTTAACCTTTTGCTAAAGTCATTAATGGAACTGTACTACCTGCTACCTAAGAACTAAAACGTTTGGTCAGAACTTCCCACTCTCCCTCTCCCACTCTGACCCTGTGCTAACCAGCAATGCAGTACCCAGAAAGCAAGGAGAAAACCACTTAGAGATCACTTTTCTATTTTCATGGATTAAAATGAAGCAAATTTTCAGTGGAAATGCATAACTATCGCTGTTAAGTACCAATCCATCTCATCTTAAAGGTTTGAAAGTACAAATCTAAGAAACGAAATATGTTGAAACTTACTCTTTAATTCAACCGGTTCTCAGGAAACCCAAGAAGTCCTGGGATCTAACGGAGGAAGGCAGACACACCAACTACTCACTCCCCCCACTCCCATCCAAGCTCTGAGGAGGGTACAAGGCCCCCAAGACTCAATTCTTCACACTCTCACCTCCCAGGAAGACCTCCACTCAAGGGTAAAAGCAGTAACATAGAATAGTTCCTAACTGCAAGGCCTCAACGAGCTGCTACTACGGCCAGAATGAATCCAGAAACCACACAGGCCTTGGGGAAGTAAGAGCTCTGAGACAAAGTCATGCCTTCAACTGGTAGAAGGATCAACAAAGCTTGGAGGGACACACAAATGGTCAGAGCTTCACCTTTCCTAAACAGTGCCTTCCTATGTGCCCAATTGGGAATTAAGCTTAAATAAAAGCTATCTTTCACTTCTTTTCAGGACATCACATTAATTATCCTAGTTATGGTTTATTTATACATGTAAAAAAAAATATGATGAAAGTCACATGCCCACCTACAAAAAATTTGGAAAGTAGAGAAAAGGCAAAAATTGCCCTTAATCCCATCAATAAAAATGTTAGCCTTTTGGTAATAAGTTTTCTCTCAGTATTTTTACAGATTTAATCATTATGTATCTACCATATTGTTAAACTGCTTTACACAACTATTCTTTTCTCTAAAAGCTTTCATTTAAAAAAAAAAAAAAACTTTTTTTTTTTTTTTGCTTTTGTTATTTTTTAGTGTCTATTCATCTTTGGGAGAGCATGAGTGGGAAAGGGGCAAAGATGAGAAGAGGGCAGAGGATCTGAAGTGGGATCCATGCTGACAGTTGCAAGCCCGATGTGGGACTTGAATTCACAAACCATGAGATCATGACCTGAGACAAAATCAGATGCTCAACTGACTGAGCCACCCAGGCACCCCAATTTTTATTTTTTAAGTAGGCTCCATGCCCAGCATGGAGCCCAATGCAGGGCTTGAACTCACGACCCTGAGATCATGACCTGAGATCAAGAGTTAGATGCTCAACCAACTGAACCATTCAGGTGCCCCTAAAATCTTTTAAAATCAAATATGTGTATCCACTTAAAAAAAAAAAAATTAAATACTGGGGCACCTGAGTGGCTCAGACGGTTAAGCCTCCGACTTTGGCTCAGGTCATGATCTCTTGGCTAGTGAATGTGAGCCTCACACTGGGCTCTGTGCTAACAGCTCAGAGTTTGGAGCCTGCTTCGGATTGTGTCTCCCTCTCTGCCCCTTCCTCGCTTGTGCATGTGCTCTCAAATATAAACATTAAAATTTTTTAAATTTTTTTTTCAACGTTTATTTATTTTTGGGACAGAGAGAGACAGAGCATGAACGGGGGAGGGGCAGAGAGAGAGGGAGACACAGAATCGGAAATAGGCTCCAGGCTCCGAGCCATCAGCCCAGAGCCTGACGTGGGGCTCGAACTCACGGACCGCGAGATCGTGACCTGGCTGAAGTCGGACGCTTAACCGACTGCGCCACCCAGGCGCCCCTTAAAAATTTTTTAAAAATCAAATACTTCCAAGGCTTACTGGATTATTTTCATTTTCCAAAATTCTAAATAACAGAAAAAAGCAGGCTATTGGAAATCTAAATTTAATCACTTGCCCCACTAAGCGATAGCACATGAGGGATTAACAAGACGTTATATCTCTCTAAAGGAGGTGATGAATCAAGCGCTAAACTGCTACCAGTTCAATTTCTAACTAACCTTTAAATCCTATTCCAAGTTTTCTCATTTAATAGATTTATCAATTTGGGTGTTTCACTCTCTTCTGGGGAGAAGTGTGAGGAAGAATTAATCTGAATACACCGAAAACTATCAGAGGTGACAGAAAGAATGTAAGTTTAGAGGCAATGGGGAGAAACGAGCTGCTGTTCTAATCCAAATCTAGTCCCCCACTGCTTGTAGAACAGTGTGTTTGTGGTCTCACTGACTCTACCTGCCTACTGCCACTGACCTGCTCCCTTCCCCAACAACAAACCAGACTCTAGAGCAGGATCAACGAACTTTTTCTGTAAAGGACTAGATAGCAAGTATTTTAGACTCTGAAGGCCAAGAGGCCAAATCGAGGATATTATGAACCAACGCAATGAGAGAAAAAACAAAACTTCCATTTTTATTGATGAAATTCAAAATATAATAGTTGGCTACAATAAAGGTCTAATGAGACCAGATTTTGGGGGGTGGGTGGAATAATATTTGTAAAGTTAAGGGTCCCTCGCATCAAATTGGTTATAAATGTTCCTCTGCTAATGCAGATTCTGTAATAAGATTTTATATATTTCACCTTTGAAAACGTCTTTTCACATAGATAGTTATGGCCAAATGCCATTATCATTCCACAAGCATGATTTTAATTGAGCATATCCTTCTCTTAGAAGACACTTGTAGGATTATATTGGAGTCTTGATATTTGCCTTTTAATCGCTTCCATTTGAAGGTTTGGTGTAAACTCCTTAGTTGCACAGGTAAATGGATTTTGAAATACGAAATTTCTTTTGCATTCACACCGAGCTGCAAAATCAGTTAGAACTGTAGTTTTTCTTTAGAAATCATATCCACAGGACCTTTGTGTAGGAATGTAGATCTTGCCTTTGTTTCAACTTCTGACAGTACACGGGAAGTATATAAAGTAACTGGACGTGACTCAAACGTTAGTAGTCGAAATGACTGAACTACAATTTAAGGTTTGCAAACAAGCTGTTTGCCCTGTAATTTTAGGTTGAATTCATTAAAAAACCTTATCAAGTCTGCAGCAAAAGCGAATTTCCAAAGCTATTCAGTGTTCAGTAGTAGTTGAGAATGATTCTTCTCATTCAGGAAAGTTTCGATGTCAGCCCTGAACTCAGAAAATTACAAGAAAACTTCACCACTGCTGAGCCATCAAACTATTGTGTGGTAGGGCATCAGAATATTCAGTTTCTTTTTCTGACAGAAATTCATGGAATTGATCATGGTGAAGTCCACAAGAGGGAGTGAAGTTCACTGCTGATTCTAATGGTTCAGTAACACATGATAGATTCAAGTATTTTTCCCCAAAGAACCCGACGAATAATATAATGAATAACCAACCACAGGCTTTAAACACCTTACAATTTCATAAGCTTTGCAAATTTGTCCAGTGAGGTTTTTTTCTGCTCCACAATATTCTTACCACCATCAGTTGTAACAGATATTAGCAGATCATACTTCAGGTTGTCCTCAGTTTTTTGAAAATATTCTCAGCTGTCGTTGTTTTAAATAGACTATTCATTGATGCTAATTCTTCAGTCACTTCAAACGAGACATTGACTCCATGAAGAAACCAAGAGTAACAGTAGGATCTGTTGACTCATCTAGAGCCAAGGAAAACCACGTGAAATCATTTGCCTTGTTTTTTGACTACTGATACTGCTCCCAAGGACTTCAACATTTTGAGAAATTGTTCTTGTCAAAAGGCTAACACTTTTAAACAAGTTTGTTTTCTCTAGACATATTTCTTCAGCTGCTGCAATCAAACACAATTTAATTAATTCAGTATTGGTAAATGACTTCCCTTGCTTAGCTAATAAATGAGCCACTCGGGAAACTTACTTCAGTTGTAGCCTCATTTTCATTTTTGTGAAGAAATGCTGCTGTGATGAAACAGTCCCTTTAAAATTTCTTTTTTTAATGTTTATTTATTTTTGAGAGACAGAGAGAGACAGAGAGAGAGAGAGAGAGAGACAGAGTGAGCAGGGGAGGGGCAGGGAGAGATAGAGGAAGACACAGAATCTGAAGCAGGCTCCAGGCTCCAAGCTGTCAGCACAGAGCCTGACGTGGGGCTCAAACTCACAAACTGTGAGATCATGACTTGAGCCGAAGCCAGATGCTTAGCTGACTAAGCCACCCAGGTGACTCAGTCCCTTTAAAATTTCTAATTTTTCTATTGCTTCTCGGCCTTTTGGCTAAGATCAAGTGTAAAATTTCTAATTTTTCTGACCATTGCCTTTCTATGAGTTGGGATTATTTTGACAACTATTTAGTCTGGTAATGTTAATGGGTGGGTCCTTTCAGCACAGCCTTTTTTTTTTTTTTTTTAAAGTAATTTCTACACCCAACATGAGTCTCGAACTCACAACCCGGAGATCAAGAGTTGCATGCTCCACTGACTGAGCCAGCCAGGCACCCCAGCACAGCTTTTATTAAAGACAGCTTTGCCACCTAGTTTGATAACAAAATAATTCACACTCTACTGTGCCCTAAAGACATGACATTCAAAGTCCATTTTTCTCTTCCTCTCTTGTTCTGACATAATTGGTAGGCACTGGTAATAAAGAATAAATAAAACATTTTGATATGCTGATACACCCAGTACTGGAAACGCTGTCAAGTTATAACTGTTGTCACTGCAACCTATAGTACACGGGACAGAAATGCCAAGCAAGGAGAGTGCCACATATGGTCTCTGTCACACTGCTGCATCTTGCAGCGTAAAAGCAGCCATAAACAATATGTAAACCAATAAGGAGAGGGTTCCATTAAAGCTTTATGGACACTGAAATTTGAATTTCATATAATTTTCATGTGTCATGAAATATTCTTTTCCAACAATTAAAAATGTAAAACACATTCTTAGCTCACAGGCCATACAAAGGCAGGTGGCAGGCTGGATGTGGCAAACGAGTTGCAGTTTGCCAACCTCTGCTCTGAAGAGTTGGAATTCCCCCAACACACCATAACCCTCCCCTCACATCTCGATACTTTTGAGCATATTACTCCCGGTGTCTGGATCACCTTTTTGGCTTCTTCTCCACGTGAGGAGGGTTCCCTGCCCCTGCCCACAGGTGTTGATCACCTTCCTTCCATATGTCCACTGCAATGTATGAATACAGCCCATATAGCCCCCACCATAGTTGTTTGTAGCCATGTCTACTCATCTCTGCACCTCTGCAAGCTGGCTCACAGCAAGCATTCCAGATATGTCTGTCTATCCAAGAAAAAGCCAAGCTGTAAAGCATCACAAATGGTACAAGCTTGGTCCATAGCAGCTATATTCTAAACCCAACAAAACCAAGAGAAGCAATTCCAATCTCTGATTTACATGCTTCTCCTGGCAATTAAGGAACCAGTAACTTCTCTAGCTACCTTCCCCACAATGTCTGTACAGCCTTGTTCTTCACCCTGAACACTAATTTTGAGATCAGCCTCACATGCAGACTAGAAAAGCAACCAGTGGGATGGCTTGCCCTGTAATTCCTAGGAATGTGTGGAGCTCGCTAGAGATACATTAAATCCTTTTTTTGTTTCCTCCAAAAACTAAGGGGTATTATGATGACTATTTGGCAAAAACTGGGTACTTAACTAAAGATTTATTCAGAAAAATAATAGAAGTAGATCACCAGACTATAACAGGGGGAAAAAAACTAGAAGGAAAAATACATCCAGTATTATTGATTTTAAGGGTTACCTAGACTCTTTATTGAATTGGGATTGCTTTTAGAATAAAAAATTTTAAAAAAGCTTTTGGAAATGTAACCCATCATATTAATGACAACTTGACAGAGAATCTATCCTGACCCCAAATTAGATGAAAGATGTTGCTAATAAGCCAGAAGAGTTCAAGTTAAAAGTGAACTGTGGTAAATATTTTTGCAAAGTAAATCACTATTTGAATGTCATCCAGTTTATGATGTGCAGAACCTGATTTGGACACATATGCAAAGTGGTTAGATTTGAGTAAAACTGCAAATAAAATAGTGACGGCCTCTGGAGAAGCAATAGAGGAGATGGTGCAGGGAGACCAGATTTGCTAAAGACTTGATAAAGCTCAATATCCACAGTGAACAACAATATGTGAGCCAAACAAAAAGGGGGCAACAAGCCAAAGACTGAGCCAACAGAAGAAACTCCAGACACTGCCACTCACACCCCCAACCTGGAGGTCATGACCCTGGAGGGCCATGAGGAAGCACTTGGTCCTGGAGAGCCCACTACTCTCCTGGCCAGTCAGATGACTGTTCATAAGCCTCACATGGGGACTGTGATATGCACACATTTCTAATGAGCCACAAATATTCATCTTTATTACAGCTAGGCTCCTAAACACTGAATTGCATCTTTTTCTTTTCTTTTTTTTTAATTTTTTTTTTTTTTTAACATTTATTTATTTTTGAGACAGAAAGAGACAGAGCATGAACGGGGGAGGGTCAGAGAGAGAGAGAGAGACACAGAATCGGAAACAGGCTCCAGGCTCTGAGCAGTCAGCACAGAGCCCGACGCGGGGCTCGAACCCACGGACAGTGAGATCGTGACCTGAGCCGAAGTCGGACGCTTAACCGACTGAGCCACCCAGGCGCCCCGAATTGCATCTTTTTCAAGCAACATACAAGCTTTACCATAGAAACAGAATCTTAAAAAAAAAAAAAAAAAAAGAATATTGAAGAAGAGGACCATTGTTTGCAAGTCAGCTCTATGCCCAATGTGGGGCTCGAACTCAGGACTCTGAGATCAAGAGTCACATGCTCTACTGACTAAGCCAGCCAAGGCACCTTGTTCTTTAACATTCTTTACTGAAATCTAACCACAAAGTGATAGGATTCTGCAACTAACAAAGGAAAGAAAAAACAAAAAAATCGCCAGTCATTGTCAAATAGTACACTGTAGTATGCAAAGCCTCAAATGATACTCATCTGTAATCTAGTTTCCATATTAATATTACCCCTACCCATACAGAATTCCTAAAAAATTTTAGTCATAGAGGTCATAGACCACGGCTTATCAGAATTCTTCATTTTTAAGTTTGAGAATAAAATATTTAATTCCAAGGTGAATACCTTAAGAGTTGTTAAGCAGATTAAGAATCCTAAATTACTATCCAAATATGCATACGATCACACACACATATTTTACAATTTGCTGCAAATCTTTGTTAATTTTTGAAGAGCTTAAGATAAAGTACTAACAGTTCTAGATTAAGTGTTTATAAGGATATATATACACATTCTGTTCTGACACCAAACATAACCCACAAACCATACAACCATGTAACAATAACCTTACCAGTAGGAGCTGCCAGAAAATGGCTTTTAAAAAACAAGACCAAATAAAGCTAAAACTTGGTTGGCAAATATTTGGACAATTCTGAAAAAGCACTATACGGCTACAGACATTTGGTTTCCAAATCTGAAATGATCCTGGTTTAAAACATTATTCAGGCAAATAAAGTGTCTGATGAATTTCTGAGTGTGTCTGAACGTTCAATGTAGGCTTTTGATTCTATACCTGGCTTTTAGCCAGAGCAGATATCGTAGGACCTCAGAGCCAGTAGGACCCCTCCTAGATACAACAGAACTGTCCTAACATACAGAAACATACACAGGAGCCTACAATACAAGTGCTACAGGCACTTAAGCAAGCAAACGCTTTGGTTCCCAGGTGGGGGAACCATTCACAGGTAAATAGTTGCAGCGCATTCTTCATTGGGAAAGGTCTGACACCAGTGAGCCATCCCGGCCCCAAGAACTAACATGAATGATACAACGTTGGTGTGCAACTAGTCTTACATGTCCCTGCTTCCTATGATTGTCTCCTTGGCCTAAAGATTTTGGAACTGGTAAAAAAAACTGAGGAGAGAAAGTTCATGGAAGGTTCACTCACATCACTGATTTTGTAGAATATATGAGGAGTACTGGAAACCCTGGATCATTCTTCCCTAAGTAAGAGAACACTGTGACTTGATTCAAAGTTTTTCTGTACACAGCTGGCCTAAAAAACCCTCCAATTTGATGGATGTTCTAGCATAAACGTTTGAATTGATGTGTTATTTTGTAAACTTCCGCGGAACAAAGGCTTTGGCCTGTAAGAGCACATCTGTTTAGTTTTAAATACAAATCCATTGTGTAAGATACAGGTAGCCTGATGAAGGCTACACGAAGAATAGCAACTGAAGTAAAATTTGAATGGATATGGAGAACAGGAGTATACTGAAGACAACGATGACCCACATGTGCCCTAAGAACTGAAAAACCTATTTAAAAAAATTTTTTTAACGTATATTTATTTAAGAGAGAGACAGGGCGTGAGCGAGGGAGAAGCAGAGAGAGGGAGACACAGAATCCGAAGCAGGCTCCAGGCTCTCAGCTGTTAGCAGAGAGCCTAATGCAGGGCTTGAACTCACGAACTGTGAGATCATGATCCGAGCCAAAGTTGGATGCTTAACCTACTGAGCCACCTAGGGGCCCTCTGAAGAATCTACTTTAGTGTAGATGTAGCTAAAGATGGCACTTGGTTAAGGCTATTGAAGGAGGTAGCAATGAAACTGAAAGCAGTAACTTGGGCTTGTCAAATATTGGTAAGAATGGCACATATGCTGTGCTAAATGCCATGCGCCATTTTAAGCACTTTACGTATATTAACTTAGACCTCGTTAACTCCACAGAGCAGGTACTGGTATCCTCAGGAAACTGACATACAAAGGGGAACTCACTTGCCTAAGACACAGCTAGTAAGTGGCAGAGCTGGCCTTCAAACCCAATCAGTCTTGCCCTGGAGTCAGTACTCTTAAACACCATGCTGTTAACTCTGCTTCCCTTAAATGAGCTAGAAAGAAAAACAAGAGTAACAGCAAATATGCATAAGTGGACTCTCCAGAATCTGTTCAAAATATGTCAGGAGATTTTGACAGGCCATAATTATAATAACCAAAAAATAAGTTACTAAAAATAAAAATCAGGGTGCCTGGGTGGCTCAGTTAAGCATCCGACTTCAGCTCAGGTCATGATCTCGCA